TTATAGCTTCCATTTGCCGATTTGCTATTTCTATTTCCTATACCTACCAGAGGTAATTACCCCCTGGCATTCCGTTTACCTATAAGTGCTAATTACGGCCGGCATCCCGTTTGCCCATTGTCCGTTGCCGAACGGACTGAAAAAAAGCAACCGTATCGATCAACATCGCAATGGACGCCAGGGACAGACATGGCATATTAGAAACTACTCTGCACAGTGTTATTACTGTCCATCTACACCTCAGGTATGACCATTGCAAACAATGCAAGCTACGTGTGTTCTGATCTGAGTATGTTTGACACCAGAATAAACATTCATATATATGAGTACAATCACACCCCTTTGTGAAGACTACTCTCGAAACAGCTGTATGTGTAATCCATGTGCAGGTATTCTTATATATTTGTCAGGAGCTATAGAGTTAAGCTCTGGGCCATTGAATAAGGATCTCAAATCAGCAATCATTTAGCAAATTAAAGATTCAGAGGATAAACTAACAAACGAGATCAGTTCAATGAGGAACCACATTCAGTTGTTACGTTGTGACATCACAGATCTTGAAAAACAACTCGAGACCAAAGAAGAAAACATCATGAGGTTAGATATTGATGCTGTTAATGATAATGTTGATGAGATCCATAATGGTTTTGATGCTATTGATTCACGCATACGGGATCTTGAGAGACGTAGCAGAAGGAACAACATTATTATCTATGGTATCCCTGGGAGTGCAAACGAATCATATTCGGTTTGCAGAAATAAAACATTGGATGTTCTGAACTCTGCCAGAACTGATGACAATGAACTATTAACACTGAGGGACATCGAGAGGGCACATAGGATAGGACGCATGTCGTCCGATAAACCACGCCCAGTTATTGCAAAAATGGTTCATTGGGACGATAAAATAAAGACTCTGAACTTGAGAAGTTCTCTTAAGTCCAGAGGCTACGGTATAGGAAACGACCTGACGATGACCCAGAGACAAGAGATAAAACAATGCAAAGAGATAGGCCCAAGCAAACATTATTTCTATAAAGGTGGTAAACTGTTGTCTGCTCCTGTACGTGATACGTACGCTGCGCGTGAAAATACCGAGGTGACTCGCCCCGAGTCACGTGACGGAAACAACCCACGTCGGGCCGACAGAGGTAACGCAGGCAGAGGTGGGAGACCGACTCAGAAGAGATAGAGGTGTGGCCAGGGCCCGGATATACAGGGGGCGTCGTTTGAACTACTTGTAGTACCATTAATGCTGTGAAACTCGTGTTTTTGGAATATATCAGGATTGCTCTCAAAGTTATCAGACTGTGAGTGTCTATCATTTTAAAAAAAAACATTTGACATAATTGGTTTGACAGAAACATGGACCCAGAAACTGATTTTTGATGATACGTTCTGCGAATATACCAACTTTATTAAGACAGGAGACAAGATAGTAAATTTTGGAAGACCTTAAGTTGGAATTTATGTTATCGTCAAAAGTAATCTTATAGCTTATGTTAAAAACTTTTGGATCACAGCAAATGGTGTATATCTTTTACTTGACAGGTCACTGTTTGGACTTGAGAAACACGTGTTATACTGCTGCGTGTATATTCGCCCAGAAGGATCTACATGGTACGACAGTAATGTTGGATCTAAAAACGGTATATTGCTATTTCAGGATGAACTGCTTGACAAACTAGGTGATGTTGATGACGTTTCGTGCATTTTAGGGGGCGACTTTAATGCAAGAACTAGCAAAGATTATGTAGAGGATGATATACTTTAATATCTCCATGGCCAGGATACCTCATACTGGGACTTTCTCTTAGACAGGTTTAATCTGCATAGATATGCAAACGATACTGTTCTTAATAACTTTGGAAAATGTTTATTTATTTATGTGCTGTTTTAAATGTACACATCATTATGAATGGCCGCTGTGGAAGTGATTCCGGGAAAGGTGATTTTACATATGTTGGCAATGCTGGGGCAAGTGTTATCGATTACATTATTAGCTCCATAGATATATTTGACTTGTGACAAAATGTTGGTACTGAGTCACGCCACGAATCACACAATCTGCCTATCACAATGTCTTTACGAGCGCTTCATTCATGTGGAAAACCATCATTCGATGACGCCCACCATAGTCATTCAATGCTTAAGTGGGATAACAGCAAAGCAGACATTTTCCAAGAAAGTCTGTTATCAGACACTTTAGCATGCCTCTTGAATTCTGTTTTTACAAATATTGATAAAAGTGAACCATTATTTACAGACGCTATTGTATATGCAGGGAATGTAATGAAAAGGGAAGTAACCCCCAACAGAGAAAGTGAAGAGTGATTTGACTGGGAATGTTAAGGGAGTCGTTAAATAAGGAAACCATTTCAGGAAATCAACGATAAAGATTCTCTTGCTAAATACACTGATTCCAAAAGTAAGTATAAAGCTACTTGCAGAAAATAAGAAACAAAATGTCATGGATTGAAGCAGGAAAAAACTTGAAAAGCATCAGCAAAAAGAAGCAAACAAAAAGTAACATAGTGAGTGAGTGAGTGAGTGAGTGAATATGGTTTTACGCCGATTTTAGCAATATTCCGGCAATATCACGGCGGGGGACACCAGAAATGGGTTTCACACATTGTACCCATGTCGGGAATCGAACCCGGGTCTTCGGCGTGACGAGCGAACGCTTTAACCACTAGGCTACCCGACCGCCCCAAAAAGTAACATAGAAATGCATGAGTGGTTTAGTTACTTCAAAAAGAACTTTTTGGCGGTGATGATTCCACAAATAACTAGCAGTTGAACTCTTTTGATATTAATGAAACCAACTTTGCAACGGAAATATTAGATTGCCCAATCTCAAAAGAAGAATTTAAATACTCGACTGAAAGTTAAAATATTTATTATTACACAAATTGAGACTGCATAAAAACTGTTTTTACGGAAGGAGTTTTTTTTGTTTTTTTTATAGGGACAAGCACATGTCTATGACAACTCACTTTACATCAAGATCAGTTGCGTAAAGATCACTGTTTTCATCTTGGATATCCAGCCTTGTCATGTTTGTTGCTGCTTGGTGAATATTATCACTTATGCCATTATATTTTATACTGCCATTGTAATTGTACTGTCATTGAAGTTTATATTGCCACTCTATTGTGTGTAATGTTTTCGGTCCATTGAGGTATGAATCGAAAAACCGATCTGCGTAGCAGATTCTTACAAAAGTTTGCACATCAGTTTATCGATTCATACCTCAATGAACCGTAAAAAATACACAGTTATGCACATATCTTGACACGCCAACAAAGTCTGTAGCCTATCAACGGAGGGTAAGATCAAAACAAAATTCGTAGAACCTGTCAATCAAGGCAGGAGGCAAGCAGAACAGTCAGACTGTAACAAACCGGAACAAATATGTCCGGGAGAATTAGGCGGCTGTTTTAAATGACATGGTCAGTTACCGCCAGATTCGAACATTAGTTCCCTGAGAACGGGAAGACACAGTTGGAAAAATGCTAGCTAGAAATGAAACCTAATGACTTGAGAGTTGTGGAACCGAGGTGAGTGAAAAACGGGCGAGTGAGCCTGCACGTTTGCTGTTTCATTCCTTCTCGGCCTTCGGTCTCAAAGGGTTGTTGGACAATGAATATGCATGCCCTGTGCATGACGATACACGTGAGCCAAAAGGGTATTCCCTCAACTGTAATATTGGGATTCTCCGACATTCTTTTGTGATAAAAGTAGTCCGCATCGGTGGGCGCGGCTTACATTTTTACATTCATCAATTCAGCTAATTAGAATGCAGGAATTTCAATGAACACAAGGAAAATTTAATCATACATTAGTTAAATGAATACCAGTGTTTGTTGCTTGTTGGTTTCAAACTGAATTCCTTTATGGTTGACTTATTGTTTCAATAAGAAAGACGAAACCTAACAATCGGGTTATCCTTATCAAACAAAGACCACTGCCATCGTAATTGTACTGTCACTGAATTTTGTATTGCCACTCTATTGTGTACTGCCATTGTAATTGTTTTGCAGTATTTTGTATATATTTGTATACTTGGTTCATTTAATTATACAATTGTTAATATATACCATTTGTTGTTTGTTGGTTTCACACTGACATCTTTTATGGTCAACTTATTATTTCAATTTGGAAGTCGACACGTAGCAATCTGGTTATCCTTATCCAACAAAGACAAAGTTTCAGTTTGTCACAAGACACAAATGACATGGACCATGCCAGAGCAGAAGATTAACATCCATGCTAATACATGACAAGGTGGACCGTCAAAGTCGATTTTGAATTACCCAAATTAAAACAGACTACGACTGCTAATTCTGATGTGGTCCCAAACGTCCTTCAAGATATGTTGATTCTAAATCTATCCCAAACATCAGAACTATGTGAACTATAAATGGAGGCATTAAGTGACATAAATTGTCTGATTTAGAAACACGATTTCGCACGGTTGTGCAGGATATTTTCACCGTTGTGAGAACACCCGGTATAATCGCAATTTGCTGGTGATCGAATACGATATTTATTTCAGTTTGTTTAGAAATAATTGGGTGCCTAATAAAAAAAGTACGTAGGTGTAAAAATAGGTAGTGGAGAGAACATTTTTACGGCTTTTCGTCGCAGGCATGAAAAATGTGCAAGAAGTGAAAAGGGTTTCACAGGTAGTGCAGGATACGTTCGCCTATTGGCGAGCATCTGTTGCAATCACAAAAGGCAATATGAGACATTAATTACCTTTTCTGGCGTTGATAGTGATGAATAAGATGTGCAGTCTGATTGACACAAACTAAAAATCCTGAACAGTTCCCGACAATTAGTGTGCTGACTGCCCAGTTACATGTGCAGATTACGTATGCCGCGGACATGTGACAGGAAGCGCATCACCTATTATTGTGCATGAATACAAACGGAAATCATGTGAAAAATGTGCAAGAAGTGAAAAGGGTTTCACAGGTAGTGCAGGATACGTTCACCTTGTGGCGAGAACCTGCTGCAATCACAAAAGGCATTTCTTATAATTATTGAAATGGTACTATTTATAACTGAAATGTTAGACAATCTAAAAATCATGAAAAGTTCTCAACAATTATTACGCTGCGGCCAAGTTACATGTGCAGATTACGTATGCCGCGGACATCCGAATGAAGCAAATCACCTTTTATTATGCATGTATGCAACCGAAAATCATCATCTATATTCAAACAGCAAAAGATTTCAAATCTCCGTGACTAGAATGTGGTAGGTAGAATAAAACCGAATAATTCAAAACAAAATGACCAATGTTAAACACAATGCGAGGGTGTTTCAATATGTTTGCCATGTACGTGCATTGACTAATTTCATATTTCAGTTGAATATCGCTAGGTGCGGCGTTAAACAAAAATAAAAAGATAGATAGACGATACATTACAATCATACTTAGATTGTGACTTGTCTTTCCGATCAGGTCTTTCTGTGAATCCATGTAGGGGGTTGTTTCGGCCGAGAAAGTAATTTACAAACATCATTTAAAAATGTTCAGTAAACTTGGAGGACATTTTTCTTTCAAACCCATCTCCATGCAGTATTTCTTCATGTGGCACAGAAAATGCAAAACTTGATGTGCAGTCTGATTGACACAAACTAATAATCCTGAGCAGTTCCCGACAATTATTGTACTGACTGCCCAGATACATGTGCAGATTACGTATGCCGCGGATATGCGCCAGGGAGCGCATCACCTATTATAATGAATGTATAAAAACGGAAATCATCATGTATATTCAAACAGCAAATAATTTCGAATCTCCGTGACTTAATTGTGGTAGGTAGAATGAATCCAGTAATTCCAAACCAAAATGAGCAATGTTATACACAATGCGATTGGTTTTCGATATGGTTGCCATGTACGTGCATGGACTAATGTCACGTTTCACTTGAATATCGCAGGGTGCGGCGTTAAACAAAAATAAAAAGATAGATAGATAGACGATTCATTTCAATCATACTTTGATTATGACTTGTCTGGCCGATCATGTCTTTCTGTGAATCCATGTGGGAGGTTGTTTCGGCCGAGACAGTAATTTACAAACATCATTAAACAATGTTCAGAAAAATTGGAGGACATTTTTCTTTCAAACCCATATCTATGCAGTTTTTCTTCATGTGGCACAACACATGCAAAGCTTGTCCTATTTAGATAACGGATCCTGAATTCAAATCTAACTTAGCACCTAAAACATACTGCACGTTTTGAAGACCTATCATGTCTAACTAAAACCGTCCTAAACGGCACTGAATGTACCCTTTGTGGATTGATATATGTTGGAGAGACACAAGTCACCTAGACAAGTTTGCAATTGTGTCTACCAACATGTCCTGTTTCCCTTACACATAGATACTGGAGTGAGTGATTATGTTTTTTTCGCAGCTTTTAGCAATATTCAAGCAATATCATGACGGGGGACACCAGAAATGGGCTTCACACATTGTACCCATGTCGGGAATCGAACCCGGGTCTTCGGCGTGACGAGCGAACGCTTTCACCACTAGGCTATCCGACCGGAAGTACTGCTTAATGTTCTATTATGTCATTTTATATATATATATATATACATTAACATATACATTAACGCGTGTTACCGTTCTAAAGTCATCCTCTCAATCAGTCTTATATTGTTCATTGTATCAAATTTTAATCAACAATATTAAGAGCAGCAATTTAAACTAAAACACCCACACACAAGGCTGCTATCGAGCGCTATTGCAAATGTGATGCATCGTAAGACTGTATCGTGATCACTTCAGAAATACAATTTCTTGCAGATTTATTTACTACTGGTCTCAAATGGCTTTCAAAATATGTTGATTCTTAATATACACCAAACATCAGAACTTTGGGAACTATAAATGAAGGCTTGGAGTAATATACAATTGTCTGAATTAGAAAATACGACTTCAAGGGTGCCATGGTTGTGCAGAATACTTTCACCATTTCTATAACACCCGGTATCATTACAATTTAATAGTGATTCATAAACACATGATCATGATATTTCTACAATAGATTCTGCATTTAGCTGATATTTCTTTTGACTATGGAAAGTGTTTTTTCTGCTTTTATTGAACATCTCGGTTAGTGCCAGCATGAAATTAAACAAGTACCCATTTTTTAAAAGCGTATACCATAACACTATTTTCATATTTAACTTTCAGATTCTGTGGAAACCATTTTTTAGAATTTGAAATACAGAATGGTAAATAGGGGCACTTAATCACACAACGGATATCAAATTCGCGCCATTTTGGGCAATAATAGCATATAATAGAAAAACTACAAAAAACAAATTTTCAATGATATGCCCAAATATGTTTTTCAATCGTAAAAGTGTCTTACAAAATGACACGAATAAGATATTTATTTCAGTTTGTTTAGAAATAATAGGGTGTCTAAAACAAAGTGCGTTGGTGGAAAACTACACTCTTCATAAAAAGAAATGCACAGGTTGTATATACTTCTTCGAGCCTGACTACACAAAATATCCGGTATATAAATTGGATATATGTGATTGGAAAATGTTGGTTGCCTGATATTCGACAAACAGTGCGTAAAAACGCAGCTATTGTCGATTTGCAATGTCTCAAAGCGCATTGTTTTCACACTTGTTAAAAAATGTCATGGAGGAAAACAGTAGAGCCAAATCCACGTGCAAGTTATGGCATTATAAGCCAATAATTTCTCATCCAATTCGAAAATGCGCACAGCGGTGCCGATCGGAACATCGCCACATGACGTATCGAAAGAGGGGAATCACAATCTTCTGTTGCACGCCACTTCAACGTCCGGCACAGCACAATTTGCCGCCTTTAGGACCAATTCACACAGTTCAATTCCACTGCAGACCGTTCGAGAACCGGCCGACCAAGAGTTACCACCCCTGAAGAGGATCGCCACATTTGACTGTTCCACCAACGTCATCGCAATGCCACAGCTACGGAAACTGCAGGACGTTTGAGGAGGATATCGGACCAGACTGTCAGAAACCATCTTCGCGAGGCTGGAATCCGACCCAGAAGACCACTTGCGTTGGCGCCATACCCTACAACATCCTTGGAATTTGAGAAACTGGAGACGCGTGTGGTTTAGTGATGAATCTCGGTTTCTTCTTCACCGGCGAGATGGAAGACAATGTGTTTATCGTCGTCGAAATGAGCGTTTTGCCCCACATACACCACGAGATCTGACTTGGTTGTGGTTCAGGGAAATATGACAGCAAATCGCTACATGAATCAAATTCTTCGACCTTACATTCATTCCAATCATTGACCGCCAAAGTAGCTGTTTCAACAGGACAACGCTCCAACGCACACAGCTGGTGTCAAAGTAGACTACCTTCACGGTGCCAACATCAACGTCGACGTGTACGTCAACGTCAGAACACGCCGAGGACACTCCCACAACTGGCCAACGCGTTACAAGCAGAATGGCGGAGTATTCCACGGGACAGAATTCGTACACTTATCCAGTCGGTGCCGAGGAGATCAGAGCCGTGATTGCTGCCCGGGTCAGCACAACGGGCAGTTCAGCGCAACTTCCTGGCCTCATGTGACATGACAATGAACAGTTTTCAATGCTTTTGTACAACGGCAATCGAGCTCCAAAATGTCATACTTGTATCTATGATATTAAATTCAATATATCGACTTTATTAGGTACAATACATTTACTGAACATCAACTATGCGTTTCTTTTTTTGAAGAGCGTAGATGGTGGAGAGGACATTTTACAGCTTTTTGTTGTAGTTATGAAAAATGAGAAAAGTGAAAAGGGTTTCACAGGTATTGCAGGATACGTTCACCTATTGGCGAGAACCTGTTGCAATCATCAAAGGCATTTCTTTTAATTAAGTATTTGGTAGTTTTAATAACTTCCTTTTATGGCGTTAATAGTGATGAATCTGATGTGCAGTCTGATTGAGACAATCTAAAATAATGAAACGTTCACGACAATTATTATACTGACTGCCCAGTTACATATTACATATTACATATTACGTATGCAGCGGACATCCCAGTGAAGCACATCACCTATTATTATGCATGTACACAAGCGAAAATCATCATCTATATTTATCTGGGCTTCACACAACTGGCGAATGATGTGAGGACATATGTTCTTTCTTTTCATATGAGGCAACTCAGTGGGTGATTGAGTTAGTGAGTGAGTGAGTGAGTTAATATTTAACGTCGCATCGGCATTATTTTAGCCATATAGCGAAGAGGCCAAGTGAATATATATTTACAATCTAGTTATTTATGGAAAGCCATATTTAAAAACAATTTATGAAATATATTTGAGCATAACAATATCATGTAAACAGTTTTAAAACACGGGCTATAGGCCACCAGTAACCAAAGCTATGCCACCTCGCTGGGGATCATGGGGATCAGTACCTCGGCTTCCTTCATGATACCCCAGCAGGATTTACGTCACCACCTTAGCTACTGTTGGTTGTGCGCAATACTAGTCAATATTTAAAAAATACTCAGAAATGAGTTGGCTTAAAAACACTGGTTGATAATGGTCACGGCGATTATGATAGGACTATGTGTCACACAGGACACAATAATTTTACGATACTTTAACCTCCTAGACAGAGTCTTCAATAATGTCAGTTGATAATAGCATCACACCAAATTTAAAAACAAGCATGTAATTATTCACATACATATTCAAAATGTATTAAACAGATCAATTTCGTTAAAGTAAATTTAGATGAGATGCCCGTTGACACGGGAAAAGAGATCTTTCACATTTACGCTTTGAATAATGTGAATCCCTTGCGATTGTAAAGTCCACACAGTCAAGCAATATATGCTTGATGGTGAACCTTTCACCACAAGGAATACACAAAGGAGTTTTTTAGTTGGGTTAGAGCGAGGTCTACCTCTAGCTTCACCATCTGCCAGAGAGGAGAAGACAGAAGTCGGGAGGGTGATATTATATTTAGAT